GTTCCCTCCCACAGAGGCTCCCCTACAGACTCTCCACCTGGACGTGTGGGGCCCAGCCCGCGTCCGTGGACTGGGCCACGAGCGGTACTTCCTGCTGGTTGTCGACGACTACACGCGCTACACCACGGTCTTCCCCTTGCAGAGCAAGGGGGACGTCCCTGCTGTTTTGATCCCTTGGATCCGCGCTGCTCGTCTCCAGCTCCGCGACCGGTTCCAGCGGGACTTTCCTGTTCTGCGTCTGCACTCCGACAGAGGTGGTGAGTTCACCTCAGACCTCTTGGCAGCCTACTGTGCGGAGCACGGCATCCGCCAGTCGTTCACGCTTCCGGCCTCTCCGCAGCAGAATGGGGTTGCTGAGCGCCGCATTGGCTTAGTCATGGAGGTCGGTCGTATCTCCATGATCCATGCGGCTGCCCCCCATTTTCTGTGGCCGTTTGCGGTCCGGTACGCCGCGCATCAGCTCAACCTTTGGCCCCGTGTCTCCTTGCCGGAGACCTCGCCCACGCTGCTGTGGACGGGGAAGGTTGGCGATGCGTCGCGTTTCCGGGTCTGGGGTGCTCGTGCCTTTGTCCGCGATACCACTGCGGACAAGCTCTCCGCCCGCGCTGTCCCCTGTGTCTTCCTTGGCTTTGTCCCTGACGCGCCTGGTTGGCAGTTTTACCACCCCACCTCGCGCCGTGTCTTTGCGTCTCAGGACGTCACGTTCGACGAGTCGGTTCCCTTTTACCGTCTCTTCCCCTACCGCACTGCCCCGCTCCCCCCCCGCCGCTCTTCCTCGCTCCAGGTGCTCCCCAGGTAGACCCCCTCCCCGCTCCAGGTCCTGCTCCTTCAGGTGTGTCTCAGGTAGACCCTCCTCCCTTGACTGTGCCGGTTGAGGTCACTGGTGACTCAGGTCCTGCTGAGGGTGGTCCTGCTCGGGGTGCTACTTCTGGGGGTGCTGAGCCTGGGGGTGCGGAGCCTGGGGGTGCGGAGCCTTGGGGTGCTGAGCCTGGGGGTGCGGAGCTTGAGGGTGTGGAGCCTGGAGGTGCTGAGCCTGAGTGTGAGGGGTCTGGGGGTGCTGAGCTTGGCAGTACTGAGTCTGGGGGTGCTCCGCCTGGAGATACTGAGGCGTCTGGTGAGCAGTCTCCCTGGAGTGGCCGTCTCCGTAGTCGCTCCGCTGGTGCCTCGCCGCTGCCCTCTCGTCGTCGACTCCCCCTCTCCTCCCTACAGCGGGTTGAGTGGTACCTTGACCGTCAGGGCCGCGCTGCTGGAGCTGGTGACTCTGCTCCTGGAGCTGTTTTTCCTGGAGGCTCTGCTGCTGCTGAGGGTGCGGGCGCTGGAGGTTCTGGTGCTGCTGGAGGTCCTGGTGCTGGTGGTGCTGGAGCTGGGGGTTCTGGAGCGACTGACGGTGCTGACGCTGAGGGTTCGGAGTCTACTGTTGCGCGGTCTCCTTGGAGTGGCCGCCTTCGTCCACGTGTGCCTGTCACCTCACAGCAGCTGCACGACTGGTACGGTCGCCGTCTGCCTCGCGCTTCTGGAGCTGGGGGCTCTGCTGCTGGAGGTACTTCTGCTGACGTCACTGGAGCTGGGAGTGGTGCTGGTCTCGGAGGTACTCGTACTGGGGGTACTGGTGCTACTGGGGCTGGAGGTGCTGAGCCTGCGGGTGCTGCTGCTGGGGACACTGCGGCTGGAGACCCTGGGACTGGGGGTGCCGGTTCTGGGGGTGCTGCTACTGGTGACGCTGAGTCTGGAGGTGCTGGCGCTGGAGGTACCGGTTCTGCGGCTGGAGCTTCTGGAGCTGCTGGAGGTGCTGGAGCGACTGGAGACGCTGGAGCTACTGGAGGTGCTGGAGCTGCTGGTGCTGGTGCAGCTGCGCCGACACGACTGTTCTTCGCTCCGCCGTCTCCGTCGTCTCTGCCGCCGCCTGACTCTGCTCTTCGTCAGGTTGTTACTCTCCCGTCGTCTACTGGTCTTCCGTTACAGCCTGGCTCACCGCTGCCTGCTCCCTCTCCTTACACTGAGCAGACAGGTAGTCTTGCTGAGCGTCGTGAGCCTGCGTCGCGTCCTGTCTCGCCTGTTCGTCCTTGTCGTCCCGTTCGTCGTGTTCCTCGTCAGCGTCAGCCGGCTGTCCCCGGCACACCCCTTGTAGCCCTGCGTCGGTCCTCCCCTCCGGAGCGTACTCCTCTTCCGTCTCCCCCTGCGTCCTCTTTGCCTGACGTCGCGGATCCTGAGTCTGACCGGTTTCGTGCTGAGCACCCTACTGTCACGCGTCTTCTAGCCACTGTTGTCACTGACCCGTCGTTTGAGTCTGCTGCTGCGTCTGCCCTAGTCGCTGAGCTTGTTGACTTTGCTGCTGCGTGTCGTCTAGACTTCGCTGCCAGTCTTGTTGCTGAGTCTGAGTCTGTCTGTCCTCCGTCCATCGGGGGTGAGTGTGCTCTTAGCACGGATGTCCTTGAGTGTCTTGCAGCCGCTGCGCCTCATCTCGTGGCCATGCTGCTTGCCCCTGAGGGAGACCCGGATGCACCAGACATCCCGACCCCGCGCTCTTACGCTGAGGCGATCGCGGGTGAGTACTCCTCTCAGTGGCAGACAGCCATGGACGCAGAGGTGGCATCCTGGAAGTCCACAGGCACTTACGTCGATGAGGTTCCCCCTCCTGGGGCGAACATCGTCGATGGCATGTAGATTTTCAGGGTGAAGCGGCCGCCGGGTTCTCCGCCTGTCTTCAAGGCTCGTTACGTTGCTCGAGGCTTCAGTCAGCGAGAGGGAGTTGAATTCTTCCAGACCTTCTCCCCCACCCCGAAGATGACCACTCTTCGGGTACTGCTGCACGTTGCCGCTCAGCGTGACTACGAGCTTCACTCTCTTGACTTCAGCACAGCCTTCTTATAGGGCAGCCTGCACGAGGAGATCTGGCTGCGCCGCCCACCTGGCTTCACTGGGTCTTTCCCTCCTGGTACCCAGTGGAGCCTCCGGCGGCCAGTCTACGGTCTCCGCCAGGCACCTCGTGAGTGGCACGACACACTGAGGACTACACTTGCGGCTCTTGGGTTCGCTCCTTCGACTGCTGACCCGTCGCTGTTTCTGCGCACCGACACTTCCCTGCCGCCGTTCTACATCCTCGTGTACGTCGACGACCTGGTCTTTGCCACTGCTGACACTGAGGCTCTCGCTCAGGTGAAGTCGGAGCTGCAGAAGAGACACACGTGCACAGACCTGGGTGAGCTGCGCAGCTACCTTGGCTTGCAGATTACCCGGGACAGAGCACGCCGCACCATCACCCTGACTCAGTCACACATGGTGCAGCAGGTCCTTCAGCGCTTCGGCTTCTCCTGGTCCTCCCCACAGCACACTCCTCTGGCTACAGGTCACTCGCTCTCAGCTCCACCTTCGGACGAGTCCGTAGAGCCGAGTGGTCCTTACCCAGAGTTAGTTGGCTGCCTCATGTACCTGATGACTTGCACTCGTCCTGACCTCGCGTACCCTCTTGGCCTCCTGGCTCGCTACGTGGCTCCTGGTCGGCACCGACCTGAGCACATGGCTGCTGCTAAGAGGGTACTGCGTTACTTGTGCAGTACATCAGGCATGGGGCTAGTGCTTGGAGGACGGAGTGAGGTGGTGCTCACTGGGCACTCAGACGCGTCTTGGGTTGACGACCAGACTACACAGCGGTCGTCACAGGGTTACACCTTCAGCCTTGGCTCTGGCTCTGTTTCTTGGCGGTCTACACGCTCGTCTTCTGTTCTCAGCTCCAGTTGTGAGGCTGAGATCTACGCCACCGCCATGGCTGCACAGGAGCTACGCTGGCTCACCTACCTGCTGACTGACTTGGGTGAGCGGCCTCGTTCTCCTCCAGTTCTGTACGTTGACAACAAGGCGGCCATTGCCTTGTGTGAGGAGCACAGACTGGAGCACAGAACGAAGCACATCGCTCTGCGTTACTTCCTGGCTCGAGAGTTGCAGCAGCGAGGCCAGCTTCGTCTTCGTCACGTGGCCACTCGGGCCAACACTGCTGATATATTCACCAAGGCACTTCCGTCTGGTGATCATCAGCGCTTTTGTACCCTGTTAGGCCTTGTGCCTACGTTTCCACACTTGCTGTAGTCTTTGGTTGTACTGTGATCTATATATATATGTTCTGCATGCTTGCCCTTGCTAGGTAGTGATCACTGCTCTATTGTTGTTGCATATATATATACCTCTGCATGTGAACTGGCCTTGTGGCCCTTTGCTTGTGCTCAGAGAGTGTGGTGACGTTGTGATCCACCCTGAGCTTGCTTTGCTTCTCTTGACTGGTCGTGTGACCCTTGTTCTCCCCCACTTTGCCTATGGGGGTGTGTCAAACATATATGCTGCTTATTGTGTAGGCTGTAGTGGGGTAGCCCATATGGGGTACAACCCAAATTAGGGTTTACTACTTGTACTCCTGCATCCTGCTAGTGCATTCATTCCTGCTGCTAGATTCTAACACGAGCAAATACTTATGTGCAAAGGCATGCAACGGTTACGCGGTGCGTGCGAGCTAGCTAGTGCTATGCTCGCATCGAAGTTTGGGCTAGTCCCGAAGCGTAGGCCGACTCGGCCGGGCCAGCGGTGCATGGTTTGGTGAAACAGTGCGCGCGAAGTTGGCGAAGCCTCGTTATTAGTAATGGGTGAACAACGGCTGCTGCTGAAAACGATGTTGATGGTCGCGGTAAGGAATGTCGAGAAAATTCCTTACATGAGGTTATCAAAGTATGCGCGATATAGGGTTTAGGGTCCGTTTCCGTGTATGGCCTACTAGGTTGGGCATTCTAAAGAATATAGTTCTCCTACTTACCACTCATTTTTTCCGTAATATTTCAATGCAACTAAAGGAAAAGAGTTAGGGAGACGGGAGGAAAAGCCATCCCTCCCAATGAGAGTCACTCAAAGCTCAAAAGCTTCACAAAATTCTGAAAGTACTTTACATATGTAATACATTTCCTCCATATCACCTACATCACCATCCAATCCACCGGTACTAAATACGCATTTTGTCCTTAGGCTTTCACGGCAACGGGCTGAATCTGGAACTGCCCCATGGCTGCTCCCCCCGTGACAGCAGTCGTCCCGAACCCCGTGCAGTACCCCTCTGGCCCCGCTACAATCGAATCCACCAGCTGCTTGTAAGTGTCCCCTTGGAACGTGGTCAGGGTACTCGCTTGAAGCCACGTTCCGTTAAGGGCATAGGTGTACGTTGTTGGGGAAGCGGATGCGTCGCCCAGGCTCTTCCTGCTCTGGGGAAGCGACGAAGTAGTAGTCAAATCCACCCACGGGCCATCGGTCCCTGGCGGGGAAAAGAAGACGGCGACGATTCTCTCCTGCCCCACGTCCTTCGCAATGCCGGCGAAGGTCGGCTCGCCCGCGGTGGGGCTGGAGGCGAGAACGCTGTAGAAAATGTTGTAGTCTCCGTTCGACCTGACGGATTCAGTCAGAGTTCGCACGGGCGAATGGAAATGGCGGAATGAGAGTCGCATCATTTGAAGAGGGAAGCTGAAAGGAAAGTAAGTTTTCCGTGAAAAAGGCAAATAAGCTAACGCTCAGGGAGAGTGCGTGGAGTCTTACTCGTAGACGGCGAGGCAGACTTGCCCGCTGGCGCCGACTTGGCCCGTCCACGTGCCTACGGTTCCGTTCAGCGGCGCAGAGAGAATCTCTGCGCGGAGAGTATGGGAGGAGGAACGGAGCGAGAAAGAGGAGGGAGAGCGATTGGAGGGGAGGGTTTCTTCGAAGTGAGCATAGCCAGCGAGGGGCTTGGAACGACATTCCACCACACGACACAAACGACTTTGCGACCAGCCTCGATTACGGGAATTTCGAAAGTGTCAGATAGTATTCTTACGGGTGAGAAGACTCTGAGAGCTTCTCACCTGTCAGAGTCCCGAGAGCTTCAGCCTGGTCGGGCTTGGGCAACGTGCACGGCCTGTCCTTCGGGGATTGCGCCGTCGTGGTCGCTGCGCAGCAGACGGAAGAACCACACGGAGAATTTTAGTTTGAAGCAGAATCAGCAACGGAGATTCCATATGGATTTTTGCGGCTGGTTGTGGGATGTGTATTAGATGAGCGCATCGGATGCGAACGTACCGAAGCTCGCGGTGACGACTAAGAGACGATCGCCAAGCCGGCGTAGCGCTGGAGCTCCATGATCGCAGACTGAATTCCGGAGCTGGTGAGCCGAGACTCTGAGAGAGAGGAGGCGATAAAAGATTGTTCTGGCGCTGCTACTCGATGATAGGAGCAAACAAACTGAAAGCTTGGTGTTTCGAATGACCGAATGGAGTGCTATTTATGGGCCGCGACGAGGTGCGCTTACAGGGCGTGGATGGTGGTCACTTCGAGAAGGTTACAGACTGTTTCAGAACGGTTCCGCGAGATCGACAATCGGTTGTGAAATGTTACGCCTAGGTGAAATTATGTTTCCTCGGAATTTCACCTTCAACACATTCGCGCTGCGGAAAACCAGGATAACACGCTTCCAGCAGTCAGATACTCGCTGCCGACGCGACGGTCAGGTACCGGTAGATGCTGCCGACTTCAGATAGACGGATTCGGCGGGTTACCGGGCGGGAAAGTAAGGGCGCCACCATGGCTGGATGCTTGCTCGTGTGACGTTCGAAGGTACAGTAGCAAAAATATGTGCGCCGCAATGAAGGCAAACAACAAGCCCCCACCCAAAATGTTTTGCTATTGCCCGTCAGAAACAGTGACAAGGTTGGGGGCACTGATTTTCGACG